TATCCCCTGTCGTGCCTTGTCGACTCAGTCGCACGCACGCACGCACGCACGCACGCACGCACGCACGCACGCACGCACGCACGCACGCACGCACGCACGCACGCACGCACGCACGCACGCACGCACACACACAACAGACATTTAACATTGATATATTACTTTTATAATATATAGGACATTTTTAACATTTCCAATTCAATAGATAACACGTTGTATGATTAAAACAATTAAAACAATTATATACAGGGTGGACCATTTTAATCCATCCAGTCGAATATCTCGAAAATCAAGCCCGGGAGAGAAAAATTTTTCAGATAAAAGTTTTCGGACTTCGAGAGGGACATAAGATGATAACATTAGTTTGACCCTGAGTGGCGTCGTCAAGGTCAGGACAAGGTCACTTTGAATTTTTTAAATGGAACCCCCAATTTTTCATTATATGTTCTTATAGCACGCCTCGAGAACTTTCCAAAACCCATAAATAAAATATTTTTTTATGAACTAAATCTTAAGTTATGAAGCTTGAAAGTTAGAGTACTGTCGACATTAGCATCATCCAAGGTGTCCAAACACTAGCTAAAGATGGCCAAGGTCGTTGGCCTTTATTAATGTCATGATCCTGAACAACTTCCAAAAGGTTTTAGCTAGTGTTTGGACACCTTGGATGATGCTAATGCCGACAGTACTCCAACTTTCAAGCTTCATAACTCAAGATTTATTTTATAAAAAAATATTTTATTTATGTGTTTTGGAAAGTTCCCGAGGCATGCTATAAGAACATGTAATGAAAAATTGGGGATTCCATTTAAAAAATTCAAAGTGATCTTGTCCTGACCTTGACGACGCCACTCAGGGTCAAACCAATGTTATCATCTTATGTCCCCCTCGAAGTCCGAAAACTTTTGTCTGAAAAATTTTTCTCTCCCTTGATTTTCGAGATATTCGACTGGATGGATTAAAATGGTCCCTGTATATACATACTTACTCGTATGAATCTTAGGCACTTTTGGAAATGGTGGTAAGCAGCTTTCAGAATCGGTAGAATCGCTTTCAATATAAACTGATTTTTTAGCTCTGATTTTTCTTCGTGTTTTATCATCGGTATCCGTATTAATATCAGAATGCATTTCA